CAATGGTAGTACTTGTACTCCTTAAGCACTAGCAAAGTCACCCTAGGTGCCCTCACAACGCAGCTCCTGAAGTAGATCTGAGCTGTTCGTGGAGAACTCCATGAAGGAGGTCATGTGCTCCTTCATTGGTTTATAGTTTCGGAAAAAACCAAATCCAGAATCCTCAACCATCAGCCCTCCCTAGCCACCAAAAACCCTAACCCCCAAAACCTCTAACCCCAAAAACCCCTAAACCCTAAACCCTAAAACCAAAACCCTAAACCCCTTTGGCACCTCATCAAAGGTTGAAGTCTTCGGGTCCCCCCCCCCCCCCCCCCGGTGGAAGGAGAAGGGGCCGGGCTCAGGGATGTACAGAGGTTTTAGGGGTTTTTAGGGTTTAGGGTTTAGGGGGTTTAGGGGGTTTAGGGGGTTTAGGGGGTTTAGGGGGTTTTATAGGGCTTAGGGGGTTTTAGAGGGTTTAAGGGGGTTTCGGGGGTTTAGGGTTGTTGGGTTTAGGGGGCTTAGAGGGCTCAGGGGGTTAGGGTTTAGGGGCTTACCAGGGGCTGAGGGTCGTAGGGGGTTTAGGAGTGTAGGGCTTTAGGGGCTTCTAGGGCTTTAGGGGGGTAGGGGTTTGGGGAGCAGCCCCAAACCCTGGTAGAGAACACATAAGATGTCAGAGTCTCAGATGCCTCTTGGGGCTTTGGGATTCAGGGCGGTCTGACGCCTCAACTTCGAATTTCGGACTGGACTGCTGCCTAAGAAGGTAATCAGGCCTTTTTGGACTCAGTGTAGACCTTGGCCCTAAACATCCCTAATCAACCCTAAGCCCAAAACCCTAAACCCTAAACCTCCTGCCTTCCAAGGACCTCTTTCCACCGAAGCCTTGCCATTCCAAATGAAGCCCGAACTGGCGGGCACTTCCCAATTCAGGGGTCCCCTTCCCAAAATAATACGAACTCTGGTGGTTTACGAAAACAAGGGTTAAGGGTTTAGTGTTTAGGGTGGGGTTTACCGAAATTAGTGGCAATTTTCCTTATTTGGGGATTTTTTTTTTAATAGGGGGATCCTACTTTTGGGGGATCTATTTGGGGGTCCCCTATTTTCGTAAACTCCAATTATCCATCCTTATGGTAGGAAGGCCCACAGACGGTACCCCTATTGTTATCTTTGGAAAATGAATGAATCCCCCAGAGCCTACTACAGCACCCTACCAGCGCACCAAAAGCCCGAGCGTTGAGGGGGTCGGGTTTAGGGTTTGGGTTTAGGGTTTAGAGGGTAGAGGGTAGAGGGTTTAGGGTTTAGGGTTTCGGGTTTCGGGTCTGGGGTTTCAGGGTTCAGGGTTCAGGGTGTAGGGTGTAGGGTGTAGGGTGTAGGGTGTGGGACTCAGGGGCTTTGAAAGCAGAAATCGATCCTTGAATCCGGCCCACCATCGGGTCAGCTCCAGGGGCACCTTGTTTAGGGCTTAGGGTTAGGGTTTAGGGATTAGGGTTTAGGGTTTTGGGGTTTAGGGTTTTGGGGTTTAGGGTTTAGGGTTTAGGGTTTGGGGTTTTGGGGTTTAAGGTTACCAGTAAAGCCCTTATACCCTCCAGACCAAAAGACCGCAAAGGCCCTAAAACCCTAAAACCCTCAACCCTCGAAAACCTTACACCCTAAACCCTCTAAACCCCAAACCCTAAACCCTAAACCCTGAACCCTCTAAACCCGAAAACCCTCTAAACCCTAAAGCCCTTAAAGGGCTTTAAAATTTCATGTTCGAGGTTCGGAAGGTCTGGCTCGGAGGATGTGCTTGAGACGGCGGAGCGGGTGGCGTGAACCCTGCGCACGCTAAAACCCCCCAGCCCTGATTTCTAGGAGATCAAAAGATGCCTCGAGGGCTAAACCCTAAACCCTAAACCCTAAACCCTAAACCCTAAACCCAAAACCCAAAACCCAAAACCCAAAACCCAAAACCCTAAACCCTAAACCCTAAACCCTAAACCCTAAACTTTGACGCCTCGACCTGAAGAACCCCAAGCCCCACGCCTCAACCCTAAGCCATGTTGGGGTTCTGCAGGTCAAGGGCCCCAGCTAAACCCTAAACCCTAAACCCTAAACCCTAAACCCTAAACCCTAAACCCTAAACCCTAAACCCTAAACCCTAAACCCTAAACCCTAAACCCTAAACCCTAAACTAAGATGGCCCATAGAAAACCCGCTGAAGCAATTGTTCAAAACAAAACTCGTTAACCTGCAAGGCTCCCTAAACCCTAAACCCTAAACCCTAAACCCTAAACCCTAAACCCTAAACCCTAAACCCTAAACCCTAAACCCTAAACCCTAAACCCTAAACCCTAAATCCTAAATCCTACATCCCAAACACACCCCAAACATCCCAGGACGCGCGCATCCACGATGAAGGACTCCAACCTTTCGCCGGCTAAAGCTTTGGGGGAAGTTCAAGGGGTTAGGGTTTAGGGTTTAGGGTTTAGGGTTTAGGGTTTAGGGTTTAGGGTTTAGGGTTCAGGGTTCCAGGTCATCATAGAAGAGGAAGGTGCCGCCCCATTGTTGAGACTGCTATTTTGCCCTACTGGCCGGTCCTAAACCCCAAAACCCAAGCCCTAAACCGTGAACCCTAAACCCTAAACCCTAAACCCTGAACCCCAAAGCCTAAAGCCTAAAGCCTAAACCCTAAACCCTAAACCCTAAACCCTACGCCACAACCCTAATCTCCCGCTGCAAACCGAGGGCGGCAGGACCTCAGCCCTGAAACAAACCCGCAACTTACAAGCAAGGCCAAACTGAGTCAGACCCTAAACCCTAAACCCTAAACCCTAAACCCTAAACCCTAAACCCTAAACCCTAAACCCTAAACCCTAAACCCTAAACCCTAAACCCTAAACCCTAAACCCTAAACCCTAAACCCTACCCCTGAACCCTAAAGCCAGGAAAGGCCCCGGCCGAACCCCGACGATGCGTTGTGGCTCCCAGAGGAAGAGCATGGTGAGACCCTTGGTGTCCACCTGATGGTTGGGTTTAGGGTTTAGGGTCTAGGGTCTAGGGTCTAGGGTTTAGTGTTTAGGGTTTAGGATTTAGGGTGCAGGGCTTAGGGTTTAGGGTTTAGGGTTTAGGGTTTAGGGTTTAGGGTTTAGGGAGTAGGGCTTAGGGTTTATAGGGTTTAGGGTGTAGGGTTTAGGCCTTAGCGATAAGGGGCTGGGGTTTAGGGTTTCGGGTTTGGAGCTTGTTGAGGCTTCGAGATTCTGGGTATCGTCTTAGGCCTCTTTTGGGAACCAATAGTTATTTCGGTTTTCGGATCTGGGTGAAGGATCGCAATTACTTGTCGCGTCGGAGATGCCGGCAGTACGGGGATCTTACAAATGCCTTTGCGCAACTTGTTCGATGACAACTTGCAACTTGTTCTCAGGGCCCTCAACCCTAAACTCCCATCCCTTTTCAGCCCCTATGTTTGCCCGAGGGTCTTTCAAGCCAGTTCAGCAAACAGCTCTAAAATCCCCTTCAACACACTAAACTCATGGGAGGCTGCGCCGACCCCCCCCACGCCGACCCCCCCCAGCAAATAACAACACCCCAAAAAATAAGGGCTTATTAGTGGCTTAATAGCTGCTTATTAGCTGCTTAATAAGGCCTTAATTTGAAATCCCTTATTTGGCAGTTAATAAGCACTTAATAAGCACTTATTTTTTTTCTGCTTTCACCGTTTCGAGAATCTGGGCTTATTCTGCTCTTAATTAAGCCTTATTTCCCTTTTTTCCGCTTTTGAAGGGTTGGGACCTGAATTGCCACTAAATTGTGTGCTTTGAAGCCCCGCCCATGCAGACTCCTTAATTTGCCTTAATTTGGTTCTGATGCGTGGGGATGTAGTTTCCGGCGCCGCCGCATGATGGCTCGCGTTTCGCGTGAATTGAAGGCGTTAAGTTGGGAAAAGAAGCAGAACACAGACCTAAGCCCGCGTTTGAAACTGCTGGAATATCATTCTTGTTCATGTGCAAAAACTAGGTGGCATTGGGCTGGGAACGGAAGCAGAACGCAAGCCCCCATTTGCAACTGCTGGACAATCATGCTTGTAGGGCAAAATAGTTGGCCTTGTGCTGGGAAAAGAAACAGAACGTAGTCCTAAGCCCACACATGAAATTTGTTGGAATCCTTGCAGTCCTTGCAATGGCGGCATTGGTGGCAGATGACGAGGATGCGCCAGAGCTTGAGGGGGTTCCCTCGGGGCCTTTCCAGTCTTTCGTGGAGGTGCCCATCCCTTCAGCGCAAGATGGCTCCATACACACCATACTTGCATACGTCAGTCCATCGGAACAAGCTGAGTGGATTGAGAAGCAGGCGCGTCTGGTTACATGAAGTTTCCAGTGCCAACAAATAAATAAAATAAGGGGAGAATAGCGGAAACGCAAAATGAGGGCAAAATAAGGGACATAAAGCTAAACTAAGGTGAAAATAAGGGTGAAATAAGGGTGAAATAAGGGTGAAATAAGGGTGAAATAAGGGTGAAATAAGGGTGAAATAAGGGTGAAATAAGGGTGACATAAGGGTGAAATAAGGGTGAAATAAGGGTGAAATAAGGATAAAGAAGGGCCGGTGTTCTCCAGTGCCAAATAAATAAGGGGAGAATAGCGGAAACGTAAAATAAGGGCAAAATAAGGATGAAATAAGGCTAAAATAAATGTGAAATAAGGACACAACAAGGGTAAATAAGGGTAAAATAAGGCAAAATAAGGATAAAATAAGGGTAACATAAAGGTAAAATAAGGGTCGGTGTTTTCCAGTGCCAAATAAATAAGGGGAAGATACGGGTAATCTGGCAGGTCGGCACCTTCCTTCTGCGAACAAAGAATGAAAGAAAGGCGTTGGAGCACTGCCGAAACAGCACTGCCAAAATCAACGACAGCCATTCTGCAATATGGCCCGGCGTGGAGGTGAACCGACGCCAGCCAAGGTTCACTCGAGGGTCTGCGCGGCAGGACCAAAAGCAGTGGTTCGCAGAAAGGACAGTGCCCACGTCAATCTTCGTGGCACACATGTTGTACGCGATTTCGGAAGCTGAAAGAAATTTGGCGGATCGCACTGCAGCCTGCAATGCATTGCGAAACCTGGTGATGAAACTTCTGTCATGCATAGGTTCCTTGGAGTTGTCCTGGCCTACTGTCGGACTGGAGGGAGGATCTCACTGGACATTTGTCGCTGTGGGACTGGATCTGGTGGTGGACTGCAGCACGCTCTGGACCACTGAGTTTGAGGAAACGCACGTGCAGGATGCGTGGCTCTCTGACCTCAGAAACGCATCCAAGCCCTGGGTGCGGACGCCACTGACCAACGCGACGCTAGATCAACTCTTGTGCTTCGCTTTGGATCCAATGCACCAGAGAGGGCTGAAGAGTTCTCTGCGGCCAGGGGCACTGACAGTGCTGAGTCAGATTGCCTTTGTTCTCGACGACGCTGTGACGGCCATGGCGGGGAGCAACGAACGTCCACCTCGATCCAGTTTTTACAAGAAATTCACGGCATTGGCTTTGATGGAAAAGAGGGACATCGCCAACCGGATGTTCAATGGCGAGGACTCGGGGTGTAGTTCAGAACCAGTAAGTTCCAAGACGCAAATGGAACGAAGGGACATGGGAGCACAACAATTGCAAAATAAAGACCAAACAAGTGAAAAAGCCTGTTAAGCGCCAATCGAAGGACCGTTTTCTCTCCAAAGCCATTGAGGCAGTGGTGGGACGTGATCGGGCAGCGACCATGAAACATTGGTCAGTTGCTTTCAATGCCATGGCCTCTCGTCCAGAATTCTAATTCAGTCAGGGTCGGTTGAGTTCTGGTTTCCTGGAGCACAAATGCGCGCGGCCTCCTAAGTTCTGCTACTATTTCGCGGCCCGCGAGCAGCTGGCGGAATGTGACTGCTTCCATTTGTACCTCGACGGTAGCAGTATCCGGGCTGCGTTTGGAAATTGTGTTGCTCGTGTTTTTTGCAAATGCCGAGACTACAACTGCAATCATCGAGGCATAGCCAAGAAACCCACGGAGCTTGTCTTCGTGTGGTCGCCGCAGATTGGCTGCGGAGCCTTCGCTCCACCCATGGCCAGTGGCTCAGGATTCTGACGAACAAGGACGAATTAAGGGGTCAGGAATAAAATAAAGCCGAATTAAGGATGAGACAAGAGTAAAAAAGTGCAAATGTCCTGTGAGAATGCTGCATCTGACGAATTCAGGGAAAATAAAGGCAAATTAAGGACGAACTAAGGGGCAGAGAATAAAATAAAGCCTAATTAAGGATGAAACAAAAAAAAGTGCAAATGTCCTGTGAATTCATCAGGAAAAAATAAGGGCAAATTAAGGACGAAATAAGGGCAAATTGAGGACGAATTAAGGGCAAATTAAGGACGAATTAAGGGGTCAGAGAAAAATACAGCCTAATAAGGATGAAACAAGAAAAACTAAGTGCAAATGTCCTGTGAATACATCAGGAAAAAATAAGGGCAAATTAAGGACGAAATAAGGGCAAATTAAGGACGAATTAAGGGGTCAGAGAAAAAATACAGCCTGATAAGGATGAAACAAGAAAAAATAAGTGCAAATGTCCTGTGAATTCATCAGCAAAAATTAAGGGCAAATTAAGGACGAAATAAGGGCAAATTAAGGACGAATTAAGGGGTCAGAGAAGAAATACAGCCTAATAAGGATGAATAAGAAAAAATAAGTGCAAATGTCCTGTGAAATCATCAGGAAAAATAAGGGCAAATTAAGGACGAGTTAAGGGGGTCAGAGAAAAAAAAAGCCTGATAGAATAAGTGCAAATGTCCTGTGAGAATGCTGCCAATCTTGCGTGCCATTGCCCTCAGTGGCTCATTCCAGGCGGTCCCTGCAATAGTTGGTAGTGGCCCTTGCTAATTTAGCAGCAATGAGCTTTTGGTGGACCATTGCCGACACGGGGATTGCTGCGTCCATCTTTGTCATCGCCCTGTGTGCCTTGGCTACGGAGAGACTGGTCCTGAAGCTCTGGAACACTGCCATTCACACAACGAGGGCCCGCCACGTGGTGAGTCGCAGTGTGCAGACGGAGAACCCTCAGACTCATGAGCTGGAGACGCTACGTGAACGGTGCCACCATCACAATGCTCATTGCCCGCTTGGACGGCCAGTGTACGTTACTGAGAAGGGACGTAGTTGGCACGTGAACTGTGAATGCTACCACATTCGCAAGGCGAAGATTGCAGTCTATAATGCGTGTGAAACATGCGCTGGTGTTTACCCCATCCCTTAGTGTCGGCATGACTGCCCTTCGAGTCTAAAACAGAGAAAGACGTGGACATGGACAAGACCTGTTGATGAAGGCTGCGTTTCTTGCGCATGTGTTTCGAGTTGAGAGTCCTTTTTGCTCAGAGGGCCGAGTCCTTTTGGTCAGAGTGTGGTAGAGTAGAGCACCAGAGCCCCATGCCCACTTTGAAGCGCCCGGGGGCCCAGCTAAAGCGCCCTGCTGCTGCAAAAAACAAGCCGATTTTAAAGCAGCCGAAGCACACACCCGCGCCTGAAAGCAGGGACAGCAGCCCCTCCCACTCGTCCAGTCCCAGTCCGGAACCAGTACGCCCGCTAGGCCCCCCACCACCGCGGCCAGCAAATCGCGTCCCAGAAAACGAGCCCGCAGCGCGCCCAGCGGAAGGGCCACCAGCCAGGATCCCGCCTGGCGGGCCTCCACCGCCCACGCCTGCGCGCGAAGTGTTCATGGATCACCGAGTCCCTGGCGGAAATCCCTTGCCCGCCCCAGCCCGTGCCTTTCCAGCGATCAATGTGGGGGACCCGGCCCCTGGCGGAGCCCCTCCCGTGCACTGGGGAGCGATCAACGGAGCTCCTCCCGTGCTGGCCCCAGCCAACCAGTGGGGAGCCATCCATATGGGCCACCCTCCCCAGCACGGCCCAGCCATCAACGCAACCCACCCTGCAGAAGGAGGGCCTCCACGTCCCAATCCCGCACCACACTTAGGCCACTTGGGCCAGGCGGTTCCACACGCAGCTTTGAATGCCCCGATTTTGCACGGGCCACTCACATCGGCTACCCCACCAGTGCCGGCCCATTACGTGGCTTACTATGCACCACACATTGGCGTGTTCTATGGTCCGCCGCCTGGCGTGAGTGGATGCTTGGCATCAGATTCAGTTTGCGTGCCAGCAGCGTCAAGAGTTTGCGCCCCGAAAACAGCCACAAACAAGCACGAGCGGGAAAACATAAGGCCGAAATAAGCAACAAATATGAAGGAAACAAACCCGAAATATGCTTCAAATAAGTGCCAAGAGGAAAAAATAAGCACCAAATAGTATGCAAAACTAGGCCCGAAACCAAAATAATTACCAAATAGGCCAAAAATAAGCTCCAAACAAGCCCAGCACCACAGATTTGCGTTTTCTACGCTACGCCACCCTCTGGCGAAACAGATCTGAAGAGACAAGAGTTGGACATACCCCCCCCCCCCCCCCCCCCCCCCCCCCCCCCCCCCCCCCCCCCCCCCCCCCCCCCCCCCCCCCAGCCGGCTTATTCTTGGCCTAAATTTGCCACCCCACCCCCCCCACCCACCACCCCCCCACCCCACAAATAAGCTTCAAATAAGCGCCAAGACAAAAATAAGGCCCAAATAAGCACCAAATTGTACGCAAAACTAGCCCCGAAAACAAAATAAGCACCAAATCAGCCACAAATAAGCCCAGGCTGACTCTGCGCACGAGATCATTGACGAGATCTCACTGACTGTCTCCAGATGCTTCTGTTTTCTCGCGAAAAAAATACTCGGCCAGCGTTTCCTTCGTCGGATGGATGCACCCTTTTGTTTGTGTGTTGACACGCAGCAGCACCGACCCGCATCACTGTGTTGCCCCGCATGTGGTTCCAAGAAGTGAAGTAGCAAGGTCGTGAAATTCAGTTCTAGAGTTGCAGTCTGAGATTATTATAGAAAGTTGCCTTTTCGATTTGTCCCGCCCTGACTCCTGAGCAGATTCAAGACATGGGCGAAGGCGGCGGCGACGACAGCCACATGCAGAGTGCATCGGACAGTGACGCGCCGCCGTGGACGCGCTCTAGCAGCACATCACTTTTGTCTGATGACCCACAGGCCGGATGAGCCCCATCGATCAACATGCGCTTTAGACAGATCTAAACCCGAAAACCTGCGCAGGAGTGGTTTCGAGGACAGGACGGAAGCCCGCTGGCCATGACTGGACGAATAGCACAGGCAGGGGTGGCCCTTGCACTCTCCTGCTTCACAAGCCTGCACTGGTCAGGTGATCTGGCGGGTCTTGGTGAGCAAGCTGGGCGTTAGCGCAATCCAGGCGTCGGCAGAGCATCTGCGTCAGAATTTGAATACATTGAAGAAAGGGGGCCTCTGCTAAGCTTGATCCGGCCAGGATTCTTGGCTGTGCAAGGCCAGACGCAGCTCCAGTTCGTGCACAGGGGTATTTACAAGCGAGATGGCCCTCAGCGTCATAGAGAAGACAGTCAATGACTCCAAGATCCTTCCCGCAGGGATGCACGTGCGACCGGTGTGCGCGTATGTCCCGGACTCAGTTTTTCGCTCACATCCTCAAAAGCAGCTGCAAAATGAACAGCAATAAGCGCAAAATAAGTACAAAGTAAGGACAAAATAAGGATGTAATGAGGACGAGGTAAGGTAAAATGAGCAACAACAGATTCAAAATAAATACAAAATAAGGACAAAAGGACAAAATAATGACAAAATAAGGACAATAAGCGCGAAACAAATACAAAATAAGGACAAAATAAGGATATAGTAAGGACGAGGTAAGGTAAAATGAGCAACAACAGATGCAAAAGAAATACAAAATAAGGACAAAAAGGACAAAATAAGGTCAAAATAAGGACAAAATAAGGACAAAATAAGGACAATAAGCGCGAAACAAATACAAAATAAGGACAAAATAAGGATATAGTAAGGACGAGGTAAGGTAAAATGAGCAACAACAGATGCAAAATAAATACAAAATAAGGACAAAAGGACAAAATAAGTACAAAATAAGGTCAAAATAAGGACAAAATAAGGACAAAATAAGGACAATAAGCGCGAAACAAATACAAAATAAGGACAAAATAAGGATATAATAAGGACGAGATAAGGTAAAATGAGCAAAACCATGTGCAAAATAAATACAAAATAAGGACAAAATAAGGACAAAAATAAGGACAGAATAAGGACAAAATGAAGAGAAAATAAGGACAAAATAAGGACAATATAAGGAACAACATAAGGACGAAATAAAGACAAAACCTCGAACACGAACCAGTCATTCTGTGGACCAAGGAATGCAACAAACATTGTCGTGGGATCATTGACACGCATGCTGCTTGGTGTGGAGAGGTCCTAGAAGACCACTACACAAAGCCATGCGTTTTCGGCGACATCCTGGAAACTCTTCCGGCAGGAACGTGCTCGGCGTGGACGCCCGGCTCTGACTTTTTCGCCTTGGTTCCGTGGAGTTGCATTAGAATAGAACGTTTATATTGGTACGTGTTGGAACCGCGCATCTATCAGCATCAGTCGCTTTGGCCAGGTTCGACACATCAGCAATTCCGACTTCGGCAAGTCACAGTATTGTTTCACATGCCGACAGTGGCACGAGACGTTTGATCCCAAGTTCAAGTCAGACATGGAAGTTGGGGGTCTTCCCTGCACAGACCAAAGCAGGGCAGGCCCGCGATTGTACGAGCAGGGCAAAACCGCGCCGGTGTTTGTGGCGCACGCCAAACTCCACATCGAGTGGGGGACACCTTTGGTTATATTGGAGAACGTGAAGGCGGGAATCAAGGGCAGAATAGGGGGATCCTGGGGGCGACTTGAATGCGTGGCTGTGTGTGTGTGCTGTTTCAGGAGCTGCACATGGGCATGATCCAGTACTTGTACGGGCGCCACTACGAACTGCATCCTTTCGTGGTGACTCCATCAGACGTGGGCCACAGTGGCACAGCACGTGAACGCATGTACATCATCATGGCGCACAAGCAGCGCACCAAGCAGAAATTCGACGTGAATGCACTGTTTAAGTCGGTGAGCGCTGTGATTCGTCGACTGGTCCAGACCAAACCCAGCGATTACATGGGCGCAAGCGAGATCGACCTGAACCTTGAGTCACAACATGTTGCGCGAGTTCGTTCAACGGTGCACCGTCCCCGCGTCGCTTGTCTTGCTCTTTGTGCTCTCTGTGTAGGTGAGAAACAGGTTAAGGGGTAATTAAGCTTGAAAGCAAGGGCAAATTAAGGGTAAAATGCAGGCAAAATCAGGGTTGTGGTAAATCAAAAACAAAATAAGTAGCTTAAAATTAAGGGCAAATTAAGGGCAAATTAAGGGCAAATTAAGGGCAACTTAAGGGCAACTTAAGGGCAAAATGGAGGGAAATCACGCGTCGCGGTAAAACAAGAACAAAACAGGCCTGGCATCAGTAAAGCAGGGCAAATTAAGGGCAAATTAAGGGCAAATTAAGGGCAAATTAAGGGCAAATTAAGGGCAAATTAAGGGCAACTTAAGGGCAGATTAAGGGCAAAATGGAGGGAAATCACGCATCGTTAAAACAAGAACAAAACAGGCTTAGCATTTGTAAAGCAGGGCAAATTAAGGGCAAATTAAGGGCACATTCAGGGCAAATTAAGGGTAAAAAGGGTAAAATGGAGGGAAATCACGCGTCGTGGTAAAACAAAAACAAAACAGGCCTAGCACTAGTAATGCAAGAACAAAGCAAGCCTAAAATTAAGGGCCTTTAAGGGCCTTTAAGGGCCAAATAAGAGTAAAGTACAGGTAAAAATAAGTGTGGTGGCAAAACACTAGCAAAACAAGCCTAAAATTAAGAGCAAATTAAGGACGACAGTGGCAAAACGAGAACAAAACAAGACTAAAAATAAGGCAAATTAAGGGTAAAATGGAGGGCAAGTAAGGGTAACACACAGGTAAAATGCGCGTTGTGGCAAACCAAGAACAAAACAAGCCTACAATTAAGGGCAACTACATAGAGTGTGAAATGTGGAACGGTGCAAGCAAATACGCTCAGGCCAGGTCGTGGGTCTACCTGCTGAACAAGCGCGAGAGAAAAGCACTCGAAGTGATTGTGGACAACTACTACCAGAAGTACAGTCAAGATGCCGTCTACAATCCCGATTTGGTGGCGTTCTTGGGCGACAATCCAAAGAAGCGGCTGTGTTGGTCGGCAGTGAGCCGAAAAATCCCCACGCTGCGAAGAAATGCAGGGAAGATGTTTGTCCCATCGCTGCGGCGATGGATGGTCCCAAAAGAAAAACTGCTCCTGATGGGGTTCCCAGTGGTGCCCTCAGTTGCAATGAGCATGGGCGTGCCGGTTCTGGCAATCACCGACAACCGACGAGCATCCTATGTGGCCGGGAACTGCATGCACTTCAGCTGCGTTCTGCTGATCCAATTCCTTGCGTTGGTGTGCTTTCAGCCCTGCACACCCATGCAGGCCAGCAGAAGCATTGCTGGCTTGGGCAATTTCTTGCTGGACAGCGACAGCGAGGCGCCTGAAGCCGACGAGAGCGAATTAAGCTAAGCGCAACGCTTGAGCCGTTCTGAGACTGCTCATGAAAAGTCCGCGCCTCGAAAGCATTGGCCGCCTTGCTTGAAGTAGCCGCCGCCTGCTGCTGGTTGGTTCCAGTGCGCAAAGGACATGTGTCGCCGCCACGCTTGCCTTGCTTGCCTGCTCAAGCAGATTTGTGATCTGTGTCAGTCTGAGGACAGTCACGCTGTAACTGTAGTGAAGCGGTTTCACTTTTCCGTCGCCGCCATGCCGCCCGCAGTCAAGAGAACCGTGGACAAGACGAAAAAGGAAGCCGCACCCAAGCCGAGAATGAGAAAGGACAAGGAGACGGACAAGGAGACGGAGGCTGCCCCGGCAGCTGTCCCGGCAGAGACAGGCCCCGTTGCCGGCAAGGTCAAGGCCAAGACTCCGGCTGCGAAGGCGACGGCGAAGGCCAAGACTACGGAGAGTCTTGGTCGCATCTGCCTGTTGCGCGCGCAGTGTTGTCTGTCTGTGTTGCAAAAAACTACACCTGCGTGACTGCGTGCCTGTGTTCACTCAGTACTCAGGGCACGCCAGGCCAAGAGCTCGGCGGCGAGGAAAAACCCCCGCAGCACCAGGCTCGTAACGTCGTAGCAGAGTGGGCGTTGCCAAAAGTCTGATTTAATGATCTATGTGTAGCTTCGTCGGCAGGCCGCCGGAATCCACTTTCGCACCAACTTCCCGGTTACTTTCCCCGGAGAGCGCTGACGAGGAGCCTATGACGTTCCCTGACGGGAGCCAGATGGACCTGGGCCCACGAAGCAACACGGGTCGAAGAGTCAAGGTCACGGAGTACAAGTCCCAGAAGGTACTGAGGAATTTCGTCGCACGTCGGCTGCACGTATTTCTTTCTGATTTCCTCCTCTTGAATTGTTACGGCTGCTTATTTTATTCGTAAGTTGTCCTTGTTTCCCCTTATTTATCTGAATTTGTCATTATTTTACTCTCCTTGTTTTGCCTTATTTTACTAATTTGCACTAATGTTGCTTATTTTTATATTTTCCATATTTTAATTTGCCCTTATTTTACTCTCCTTGGTTTGCCTTATTTTACCCTTAATTTGCACTAATGTAACCTTATTTCCACCTTATTTTGCTCTTAATTCTTATTTCTGCCTTATTCTACTCTTAATTTTTAAGTTTCCCTTATTTCTACCTTATTTTGCTCTTAATTCTTATTTCTGCCTTATTCTACTCTGCATTTTTAAATTTCCCTTATTTCTACCTTATTTTGCTCTTAATTCTTATTTCTGCCTTATTCTACTCTGCATTTTTAAATTTCCCTTATTTCTACCTTATTACCTTGCTCTTAATTCTTATTTCTGCCTTATTCTACTCTTAATTTCTAAATTTGCACTTATTTTACCTTATTTAACTCTTAATTTGCATTTTTCCCCCTGTGCGATTCCCGTGCTGCCATTTTTGACTTGAATCCAGGACTCGCACTACAAGGCTTGGCTCGAGAAACTGGAGTCCGAGTACCTCACGGACAGTGTGCTTCGTGGGGCGACGAGAAATTCGCTGTTTGCCTACATCACGTTCCTCACTGGCTGGTCCCCAGATGACCCCAAACCAGCCACAAACCTGGATGGGGTCGTGAAGGCACTGAAGGCGGGCTGTCAGTTCTGTAGCTAGCCGAGCTCAGTTGATTCGGAGCAGCTGCTGAGTGTTGCCCTGGTCCAGGCCGAAAACAAGCGACGAGGATGCCCGTTGAGCAAAACCGGGTGGAGCAGCCGAGAGATTCGACGCTACTTGAAGTACCAGGTGGCTGCCATTTCGGCAGGGGTCCTGGGCCCCGAACAGTACGGCGGCTGGGCTTACATGCTCCCGCAATGTCATGGCGACGGCCGACCTGCTGCGCTACCGCAAGAAGTGCTGGACTTCGAGACGAGCAAAGTGTTGCCAAGGCGGGCGATCAGTGCATGTTTTTTCTTCTGACTCGTTGGGCGGTGCTGCCGTTTGCTCAGGCCGGACAAGAAGAAGTCACTCGTGCCGCACCAGCGCGGGCTGAAGCTCCCCTCGCCCAAGCGGGCACGCACTGGGACAGGAGGCGTGGCAGCAGCCACTACTTTGCTCAAAGGAATGGTTGTCTCGGGACTGCCTGACTGTAACTGTTGGAGCTTGTCGATCGAGACTCATGCATGCGTTTCCACGTGTCTCCAGCGTGAGGACCATCTGTGCCACATCTACCGCCCCCATCGACAACGGCCCGCTCTTCAAGCCGTGATGAGCTGATCGTAGCAGAGACGCCCGCCAAGAACACTCCCGGGCAGAAGGACAAGGCCACCAGCGCAGCACGCGCCAACAGAAAGAATGACACCCGCCAGCCCCCGGAATCGCCGGCGAGGAGCAGGGCAAACATTCACAAAACAATAATAAGAAGGGTAAATTATGGGAATAATAAGGGGCAAATAAGAATAAACTAAGGGCAAAATAAGGGACAAATTAAATATCAAGGGTAAATTAAGGGTGAATTAAGGGAACAATAAGGGTAAATAAGAGCAAATTAAGGGTAACGTAAGAATTATCTTACAAGGGTAAACTAAGGGTAAATTAAAGGAACACTATGGGTAAATAAGAGCAAATTAAGGGAAAAATAATGACCAATTTAGATAACAAGGATAAAATAAGGGTAAATTAAGGGAAGAATAAGGGCAGATGAGAGAAAATTCAGGGTAAAATAAGGGCAACTTAAGGGGTGTCAGGAGCCTCCGTTCGAAGGCTCTCTTGGAGGCGCAGTGCAAGAGCAAGGCTTCTTCATCAAGGGCAGGGGGGTCGCAAGCTGATGCCTCGACTACCGCGCCGGTTCCATGGCAGCAGCTGAAGGGAATAGGAACACATAGCCTCACCAGAAATGAAAAAAATCTGGGTTTTTCAAAATGACACGAGTTTCTGTTCCATGAGGTCCTGTCGGTCCAGCACGGGGACAAGGCCGTGCTTGAATGTGTGTTGTCTGACAAATGATCGAGTGAGTCTCCGTCTGCCCCATGAATTTTCATGTGCGAGGTGAGCTTCTCATCATCAGAGAGTCAGAGTGATTGCGGCGAGTGCGACGAGCAGGCTGAGGCGGAGAAAACGCAGGAGCGACCGGCGCCCTACCTAGGTGGAAGCTTCGAAGAAGACCTCAACGGCCACAACTTCGTCTGTGATCCTGTGTTGGACAGGATGGTCCGCATTCCCTCGAAAAACGACACCATCATGTGGAAGCTTGTGTATGATCCGACATTCATCTTGCCAGATGGACAGTGCTCAGTGAGGCTTGTGGCGCCCTTCAACCCGGAGATCAAGACCCGCTACGTGCACGATCTCATGAATTGCTCCAAGGCCATGCCGCTGGAGTGCCTTGGTTGATTTTGGCATCAGGGCCACGTGATGGATGTGTTTGTGTTTGCATTACAGTTTGGGATGCTTTCCCGCCCGTGCGCTCGCCAAGTCGTGAGCGTGTTTTTCACGTGGACGATCCGGTGGAGCCTGATGAGCTCCAGCGGCTGCCGTCCCGTGGCAACAGTGGCGAAATGAGCGAGGAGCCGGAGCCCTCCTTGTTTGGGCCCAGCGACGCCGACTTGATCAAGGACATGAACCCGTCGCCTGGTGAAGGCGAAGGCCCGTCCCGAACCCTTAATTTACCTTTAATTTACCCTCAACTTCCCCTTAATTTACCCATAGGTTTCCTTCAAATACCTTTTGCCTTGATTGACCCTTGATTTTAACGCTACGCGAGCTGTCATTTCCCATAAGTTTGCCCTTAGTTTGTAAGAAACCCCCTAAACACTAACCAAAATGCCCGACTCCTCCCCCCACCCCCCCACCCCCCGTTGGCAGACGATGGATGTGAAGAAGGGGAGGAGGAGGAGGAAGAGCATGAGGCTGATGCTGGCCATGATGACCAGTCCGATAATGATGACGAATTGTGAGCGCAGTCTTTTTCAGGGCAGAGCCAGCTGACAAGCACAGTCGTCAGCGCCCGTTGATTTGAGTTTGATGCAAAGACCTTGAGGGCAGGCCCCGTCCAATTGGATATCCCGAAGCTTGTGGATATATTCATTTGGCCCTTATCTTATCGCTTCCGACGTGCCCTCACCAGTTGACTTTGGGACTGAGTGCAGTGGCGTGAGGCAAGAGACGCATCACTCTGCAAACGCGTCGCAAAGAATTGTGCAGAGAGCACTGGCAATGTGCTGTGAACTGAACGTGAGGGACAGCCCACTTTGCCTAACTTAGGTCTTGCCTTCCCTGGTGCCGGAGTCTATGGACGGCACATCTGTGCTCAGGCAAGGCTTTTGGCAACTAAGCAGTAAAATTTACCTTTAAGTTACCCCTAATTCCCCTTGAATTGCCCTTAATTTAGCCTTAATTTAGCCTTATTTACCTTTAATTTACCCTTAATTTATCCTTAATTTCCTTATTTACCTTAATTTACCAGTAATTTGCCCTTCATTTACCCTTAATTTATCCTTATTTCCCTTTTTACCCTGAATTTACCCTTAATGTATCCTTAATTTCCTGATTTACCCTTAATTTACCCTTAATTTACCCTTTTACCCTTCATTTTCCCTTAATTTACCCTTAATTTCTCCTTAATTTCCTTATTTACCCTTAATTCACCCAAGTTACCCCCAATTCCCCTTGAATTGCCCTTAATTTAGCCTTAATTTAGCCTTAATGTACCTTTATTACCCTTAATTTATCCTTAATTTCCTTATTTACCCTTAATTTACCCTTAATTTACCCTTAATTTATCCTTATTTCCCTTTTTACCCTTAATTTACCCTTAATGTATCCTTAATTTCCTGATTTACCCTTAATCTACCCTTAATTTACCCTTTTACCCTTCATTTTCCCTTAATTTACCCTTAATTTCTCCTTAATTACCTTATTTACCCTTAATTCACTCTTAATTTACCTCAATTTGCCCTTAATTTACCCTTAATTTACACTTAAATCCTTTAAATAACCCTTAATTTGGCCTTAATTAAATAGTGGGCGGGAATTGAAGGCAAATTAAGAGCAAATTAAGAGTAGGTTAAGGGAAAAACGAAGGAAGCTTGGCACGACTGTGCCATAGTACCACTGTCATGTTCCCTGGCGTTCCCAGGCCAAAGCTGTCTGGAAAAGAGAAGAGAGGCTTTTTCATCATCATCAAGATGCTGCACCACACCCTTCGGATCATGTGCAACAAGAGCCTGGAGGACTTCATCCCGCCGGCGGAGCACATGCTGTCACTGGACAGGCTCAACGTCCAGCTGGCGCCGAACCGCCCGATGTTGCGCGCCGACTCTTGGCAGTTTTCAGCTCTGCGTTTAGACGATTTTTTTGTCTTTGAATATATATGTATATATATATATATTCAAAGACAAAGAAGTCCAGTTCAGGTAGAAGATGAAGAGACGCAACAGACGAAGGCTTGGCGCTATCTGTTCTCGGAGTTGAAGATCCGAGGAGACGTGGAGCCAGAGCTGGCGCACCCGCTCTGGAACAGTTTTAAACGGTCTCTGACCGGCAGCGGGTTGCAAGAGTCAGCGTTAAAGTTGTCCATATGTTGCAACTACTCCCACGGCTCTTTCCTTTCAGGGGACCACTACGAGCAAAAACGTGAAGCTTTGCAAGCGTACCTGGAGACGAAAGACCGCGAGTGGATGGACGACCTTGCTGCCGACCTGGGCTTGGAGGCAGACGGCGACGGGGACCCGCTTCTGACGCTGGAGGATGTGATGAAGTCCGGCGCTGTGCGTCGCAGGGGTAAGTTCGAGACCTACTTGCACATAGCACAGCTCTCCGAAACCACAAACAAAAGGGGTCGCAGAAGGGAAATATCTGCAAGTAAGGTAGGCGGTGGAAGTAATGGCAAAATGAATGTGGAATAACTGCGTTTAAATAAGGGCCAAATAGGGGAAACTGTGGCAAAAATAGGAGAGGGCAGAGCAGGGGAACATCATTGGTGTGAAACAAAACGAGGTGAAGGCCAAAGCGTGGTTTGGGATGACTGCGTCGTTTAGACAGCTGCTTGGAGACTGGGCAATTCTGGCCGCCGCAGGAGTGGCCATGATGCACATGACAAATGTGCCTTGAGAGAGATCCTTTTTATATCCCAAAAACTTAATTTGTCTCCCTAATTTTCCCTAGTTTACCCTATTTCCCCTTGGTTTACCCTTAATTTAGCCTTAATTTACCCTTAATTTACCCTTACTTTACCCTTAATTTGCCTATTTACCCTTAGTTTGCCCGTAAGTTTCCCTTAATTTACCCCTAAATCCCTTAAACAACCCTTAATTTGCCGTAAGTTACCCTTAATTTCCTACCTACCCTTAATTTACCCTTAATTTACGACTAAGTCACCCTTAATTTACCCTTAATTTAGCCTTAATTTCCCTTTAATTTCCCTATGTGCCCTTAATTTACCCTTGATTTACCCTTGATTTACCCTTATTTTGGTACTTATGTAGTACTTCCTGGCGAGGTCGACAACGAGTCTTCCAACGACGAGGATGACGAATTCGATGGGCTGGCAGGTGGGACGCAAATTATTCATTTTATTTTTTATCTTGCAGATTCGCAACCAGTTCCATTTCCCCGTGCCAGGAGATGACTCGAAGAGGGAGCCGCTGCTCACGAAAGCGCAGCTCTACAAATACTACTCGGGGAGGGGGCCGACGGAGCTGTTTGCAGAATTTATGATGCAACCTGAGCTGAGACAGCACGCAAGTATAATTACACGGGTCTCCGCGCCACTGGAGGACAAGTACCACAAAGACCTGGAAGCTCAAACGCAGGGCCCGGAGACCATGTTGGCATGGGCGACGAGGCGAGCGCAGGGTACCTCATGGTGGTCAAGCGCGAAGCAAATTCTGGCTCAGGTTTTTCATCCTGACCTCATCTCGGACCTAGGCCTCACCATGCCTCTGAAACCTGCACTTGAACAGGATCTTGGCACAGCCTGGATGGTCGCGTCTTGGCTTCAATTCATTGTCTAAAATGTTCTAAAACTGGCCGGCCTTTTCAAATGTTGCCAAGATGCAACGAAAACACCCGAAAACCCAAAAAGTCAGGAGGAACACCGTTGTCTGGAAACAGCGTTTTCCTTTGGCGTCTGCCTTGCAGCCAACTTGGCCTGGTCGCAGTTGGTCTATCGATATACTTTACCTGGAGCCGCGGCTGTGCTGCTGTCCGAGAATGCCGACGAACGGGTCGAAGGCTCCATTTTTAAGCAAAGATAAGGCCCAAATCAAGCTGAATTCAGGACTTCCTTCCCTAACTCGCCCGCCCCCTGCCCAAATAAATAAGGCCCAAATAAGAGCCAATTAAGGGCAATTTAAGCCTGGTTTTGGAAAACACACACAAAAATGAAGGAATGGAATTTCTGCAGAAGATGACCAACACTGTCCTCAGTGTGCACAGGTGTGAGGGCCGCTCGAAGCTTCATGCAGAGCTCCTGCGCGAGATCGCGTGGCATCGGGAAACTCTGCCACTTGAGCTGATGGCCAGCTGGCAGCAGAGTGGCTTTGACCCGCATGATGAATCGACGAGAGAAACCCTGCGGCTTCTGAAGACAGGACGGACGCTGTCAGATGTGTTTTTAACGCTAGGGCTTGGAGGTTTCGTGCAATCAGTCCGTATTATTAAGGATAAACAAACCGATAACATACGCGTGCAAATTAAGTGTAAAATAGCGATAAATGCGCGTTGCGGTGAACAAGCCTAGAATTAGGGGCAAATTAAGGGCAAATTAAGGGCAAATTAAGGGCAAATTAAGGGCAAACTAAAGGCAAACTAAGGGCAAATTAAGGGCAAAGCCCACAACAAGGCAAATTAAGGGTAAAAACGTGCAAATTAAGTGTAAAATACCGATAAATGCGCGTTGTGGTGAAACAATAACAAAGCAAGCATAGAACTAGGGGCAAATTAAGGGCAAATTAAGGGCAAATTAAGGGCAAATTAAAGGCACGTAGCAAAACCCGTGACCCCTTCAGGCACGTCGACCACCAAGGATATCTTGGAATCCACCTTTGCTCACATGACCGACATCTCCAAAAGACACAGCAAAAATCAGAAGCTGGCCTTCTACACGAGGTGGATCTACGCAGCCTGCTCACCCTATGCGCGGTCCAGCGCGCCTCAAATCTTGCCGACCGGTGAGGACTGGCTGACACACAGGACCTCTGACGCAGAAAAGGCCAAGGAGTTTTCGAGACTGGGAAGCGTGAAGGACGAAAAGCTGCCGGAAATCTGGTATGGCCAGGACAGTCGCTTTCCCAAAAGGCCATCTGACATCGTGTACCGCCACGCTGGGCCTCTGTCCCATCAGAAATCTGCGTCCGCGCTCGCGTTCTCCTTCGCGGACGAGGAGAGCGACTTCAGCAACGTGAGGAACGCTTGGCTAGGCTCGCGAGCCGAAACTTAGAGCCCAAAGCAGTAGTTGAGGCACGAAACACCCTGGCTAGGCTCGCTTTTCACTCAGGGCGGCTGTTTCCTCCACGTGCCCACCCAGGAGTATGTCATCTCACTGGGGTTCAGAAAATGGGCCGCGCTGGGCATGCGGCTCTCCCTGCGAACGGTGGGCTTCCAGGACAGATTTGTCACCGGTACTCTGTGTTTATTTTGTGCTTAATTTGCTCTTATTTGGCCCTTATTTTGCTGTGCTCCCACATCGGTTGGCCTCGAAATTTCCATATTTAGTACGATGCTCTTCTCTTGTTTTTTTGTTTCCCTGGGAGGATTACCTGGTCTTGGATGCATGCAGTGAAGATCCCGAGCCCTTTTGGATGCACAACTGGAGCATGACAAATGAAAATTGGCTGGCGGTGGAAACAGAGCTGCTCATTCCGTCCTGCGTGCCTGAGGCCTTGCAAGAGGAGAACCTGGGTCTCACCCTCCAGGTCAATGGCCTCACTGACTTGCTGCCCGCAGCCATCAAAAGAGGAACTTTCTTGACAGCCGAGGCAATCAAAGCCTTGGTGCGGGTATTAAATGCGGATGTTCCGGCGCAAGGCAGGGGAAGCGGAAAAAATGGAAACGTCGTGAAACTGGATCTGGCGAAAAGTCTGGTGGAGCATTTGTTTCCTACGGAGCCGGCAGATGAGAAAGCACGCATGGTCAACGCGCTCATGGGTCGCCAGAAAGCAGTCAATCCAGAAATTCTGCAAATAGTATCTGGCCTGGACGCCGAAAACGCTGAAGACCAGATTTTCAAAAAGATGAAGAAGCAAGCCAGTGAAGAACTTCAGCGATCTTTTGTCTCTGCTGGCAAGAAGCAAGCAGAAAGAGAGCGCCGCCCACCTCCTGCTCCTCCTCAAGCAGGCCAAAACCCTGGGAGCAGCGCAGCTCAGCCGGCGGCACCGAGAGACGGAGAGATGCAGCAGCACGAGGCAGCACGGGCTCGAGCGCATGCTGAGCACAAGAAGCATGAGCAGCAAAACGCTGAACGGCTGAACCAGCTTACGCCTCCAACCCTTCGCAGCTTCCTTCCGGGAGGTGGTACGATTACTGACACGTTCAGTATCGAGTACCACCCCGTCCAGAAACATTTTCGCGTAAAGTACCCTTGTGGCTCAGCTTAATTAGCCTTGTCTCGTGTTCCCCGACAGTAGTTGGTGCTTGTGTTTGTGTGTGTGTGGCAGGGGTCGCTTTGTTTAGTCAGCTAGCAGCTTAGCTGAGGTGCCATGGAGCCTACGCAAGCGCAATCGTGCACACGCAGTTGGCCAACTGTACGGGCAAGCTGTGCAGCAGACGCCCTTGAATTGGTGCTGCAGTTCGCGTATGGACGCTGGAATCGGCAGAACCCGCAGAGACAGTTCGACATGCGACTTGGCAGAAAGCTAGCAGGTTCAACACGAACACCTTGAATAATACGTAATTATGCTTTCTCACAGCAGGCCAGAGCGTCGGCGGTTGGAGGAATACTGCGATGCACTGCCCTCTTCGTCAAGGGATCGAGGCCCCTGACACATGCACCTTTTTTGCTCAGTTGCCCTTAGCCTTAATTTGCCCTTAATTTGCACTTAATTCCGTTAGGAAAAACCTTAATCTGCCCAGCCCTTAATTTTCCTTTAATTTGCCCTGGATTTCCCCTTATTTGCCCTTAATTTACCCTTACACTGTTGGTTGGGTCTTGTAGGGGCATCGTTTCCGGCTTCCAATTCGTCCGCGGCCGCCGGAGCTAGCAGCAAATTGCAACATTCGGATTTAGGCAAGCGCAAATTCCCTGAACCCTTCTTGTATGGGCTCATCTAGAGAGACAGCGAGGGGTTGACTTCGGCGGCCCTCAGTTTCACTGGATAGTGGCTGACCCGAGTTGCGAGCTCGACTGAACTTACCCTAATACGTGACCCCTTAATTTACAATTAATTTGCCCTGAGTTTACACACTTATTTCACCTACAGATATCTGCCAGCGCGAACGCAGCGCAGCGTTTGCAGCTGACTCATGCAGCTCGAGCTGCCGTTCGAAAAAAAGGTTCCACTATGCTTGGGGGCTGTCCCTTAGCCTCCGAATAAAAACCGGTCTTTACTATAATCATCTCCCAATTTCCATTTAGTCGTAGGCTCACTTGACCCCCTTATTTGATCCTTATTTGACCCAGTATCCGAAACTCCGCTGAAGCTTGGGAAAACTTGTTTTGGAGGGGGTCGGGGTTTGATTCCCTTAGTTTACCCTTAATTTACCCTTATTTTACCCTTAATTTGTCCTTAATTCACCTGAATGCCCTTCAGTTACCCTTAATTCACCCTTAATTGCCCTTATTTTACCCTTAATTTGTCCTTAATTCCCCTGAATGCCCTTCAGTTACCGTAAATTTCCCTTAATTTGCCCTTAATTTACCGTTAATTTACCCCATCATTCCCCTTAATTTACCCTTAATTCGCCCTTAATTTGCCCAGCTAGCCGCAGATTACCCTTAATTTGCCCAATTCTTGGGTCTTAGGGCCAGAGGGATTTGCCCTTGTATCCATGTTTAACCCTTACTCTACCCTTCTGCCAACCGAACCAGGTCAGGGTTTGATTCCCTTAGTTTACCCTTAGTTTACCCCTAATTCCCCTTAATACCTTCAATTTACCCCTAATTTGCCCCTAATTTACCCCTAGTTCCCCTTAATTTACTTTAATTCACCCTTAATTTGCCCAGCTATCCGCAGTACCCATAAATTTGCCCAATTCCCCTTTACCTGAACAAGGTTTCTTGGGTCGTAGGGCCTTGGGGATCTCCCTCTACACGCCCAGCCAGCGCAGCATTTTGCGCAATTGAACCTGAGTGCTTTCCTGAAGTATCCCTCAAACATGGATTCGTCGGACCAACGTCAAGAGAAGCTGCGCGCAACCCCTGCCAAGGCCAAGGCTAAGGCACGGTTTTCTGAAACGATGGTGACTTCCGATAAGCGTTTCAAGAAAATCACGTCATCCCCCCCCCGCCAGCGTGCTGCTTGCAGGACAGGATTCCAGCGTCCGAGATCACCCCGCAGAGCCACATCAAGACGATCGATCTGATCAAAACCCCGGAGGCTCCAAAAAAGAGAAAGCTCCCCTCACGCACGGCTCTGCTTGCTGGAGACACTCCGACTGCGCAGACCGTGCTACTGACCTTTGAGGCATTGAAACGGCGCAGAATCATTTACGATGACAACTGACAAAAGCTCAGTTGGCAAGAGCTCAAAGACCCGTGCTGCATGCAGCTCACACGCAGCAGCCAGTGGAGACCAAAAAGGCCATTCTTCAAAGCTTGAAGCCTCAATAGGTTCGTTTCCCCGATTTGACCTTGATTTTTTCTCATCTGTCCCAAATTTCCCTTTGTTACCCTTGTTTGAGCCCTTGTTTTTGACCCTGCATGGACTTGATCGCTAATATGGTTGCTTGAAAAACCCTAACCCCTGAACCCTATAGACCCTAATTCCTTGATTTCCGGGCCTGGACTAGAGTTGCAGAGCTGCGCCAGTTCCCGACTTTACGTGGGCTCACTTCCCGAAAACCCGACCCCAAACACCTCAACCTACACCACGCCCCAAGATTGAAAAAACATGCTGGGTTTATGGTTTAAGGGATACAACCCGCCTAAGCCCTTCCAGCCCTAAGCCCAAAGCCCTCAACTGACACGGCAAAGCCAACCGAAACAGGATTCCCTTAATCTACCCTTATTTTACCCTTAATTACCTTAATTTACCCTTATTTTACACATAATTTACCCTTAAAATTCCACCCTTATTCTACCCTTCTGCTAACCGAAACAAGTCAGGGTGCGATTCCCTTAGTTTACCCTTAATTTACCCTTAATTTACCCTTAATTTACCCTTAATTTACCCTTAATTTACCCTTAATTTACCCTTAATTTACCCTTAATTCCCCTTAATTCCCTTGATTTACCCTTGTTTTGCCCTTAATTTACCCCTAGTTCCCCTTAATTTACCCTTAATTTACCCTTAGTTTACCCTTAATTTGCCCAGCTATCCGCGTTTGACCCTTAATTTGCCCTTATTTTTGCTTAATTCCCTCCATTGCGCACCTAAACAAGGTTTCTTGGGTCTTAGGGCCTTGGGGATCTCCCTTGTATCATACACCTTGGTTCTATCCGTATTCTACCCTTATGCTACCCTTATGTCACCTTAAACTTACCCTACAGGAGTGCGCAGCATTTCTGCGCAAGTGAAACTGTGTGCTTTCCTGCAGTATCCCTCGAACATGGATTCGTCGGACCAGCGTCAAGAGAAGCTGTGCGCAACCCCTGCCAAGGCCAAGGCTAAGGCACGGTTTTCTGAAACGATGGTGACTTCCGATAAGCGTTTCAAGAAAATCACGTCATCCCCCCCCCCCCCCCCCCGCCAGCGGCTTGCAGGAGAGGATTCCGGCGTCCGAGATCACCCCGCAGAGCCACATCATCAAGACGATCGATCTGATCAAAACCCCGGAGGCTCCAAAAAAGAGAGAGTTCCCCTCACGCGCTGCTCTGCAAAATACGAACATTCCGACTGTGCAGACCATGCTACTGACCTTTGAGGCGTTGAAACGGCGCAGAATCATTTACGATGACAACTGACAAAAGTTCAGTTGGCAAGAGCTCAAAGACCCGTGCTGCACGCAGCTCACACGCAGCAGCCAGTGGAGACCAAAAAGGCCATTCTTCAAAGCTTGAAGCCTCAATAGGTTCGGTTCGTTTCCCGGATTTGACCTTGATTTTTTCTCATTTGTCCCAAATTTCCCTTTGTTACCCTTGTTTGAGCCCCTTATTTTGATCCTTATTTGACCCTTAATTGCCCCTTTTTTGACCCTTACTTTGTTTGACCCTTATTTGACCCTTAATTGCCCTTTTTCACGCGGCAGCCACCCTTATTTTGTCCTTATTTGGTCGCAAACTGAAGGCCAGTTGACCCGCATGTGCCCCAAAAAATAAGCCCTTAATAAGCGACTAATAAGTTGCTATTCAGCCCTTATTTTTTAGACGCTTTTTTTTCACTATTCCACTCTTATTTTTTTTTACACACCCTTAATTTGTGGGGGGGGTCGCCGTGGGGGGGGTCGGCGCGGCCGACCATGATAAACCCCAATCCCTAAGCTGCTTAGGGGTTTAGGGTTTAGGGTTTAGGGTTTAGGAACCCTATAACCCGAAACCCTCAACGCCAGCTTGCCTGCCAAGGGCGAGACGTCTTGTTCTCGGGGCCATGAGTGCCGGGTTCAGGGTTTGGGGTCAAGTTGCCAGAATAGAGGGGTCAAGTTCTAACCCCTAAAACCCTGGCACCCTCAACCCTATATAAACCCTAAACCCTAAACCCTATATAAACCCTAAACCCTATATAAACCCTAAACCCTATATAAACCCTAAACCCTTCACTAAATCCATCGTTCCCTGGGTCGCCGGCGAGCTGGCCCTCGCAGGCCTCTCCGCGCGAGAGGCGGCGAAGCCTTAGTCGGAGGAGAGGGATGGTTTAGGTGGTTCAGGGGTTTAGGGCTTAGGGCTCAGTCTACGACTCTACGACTTACCTCCGGGTTATAGATGCTTCAGGGATCGTGCCCCTAGGGTTTAAGCTAGGGTTCAGGGGTAGGGGTTTAGGCGCTGAGGGTTGGGGAAATCAATCGCCTTACTTGAACCAAATTCTTACTGTTTTTGTAGGAACCACCATTGTGCTGATTTTACTCTGAATGTGACTGTTCCGATTAGAATTAACTGTTCTTATGAGGCTTGCGATTGTTCTTGTTGTAACTCGATGTTGTTATGCTAGTACTGTTGCTATTCTTCTCGTCGTAACAGTTGCACTGCCAAAACCACTACCACTTTCACTACCACAATCACCACTACTAAACAACCATAAGCCAGACTTCCTGTGGTTTCAGGTTTAGCTTTCCTGCATTTATGCTTTATGGATATCCGTGGATTTCTCGTTGCCTGTGCCATAAACGAGCTTAGCAGGCTGGCAAGGATTTTCGCAGGATTTCCGCAGACATTTGTGGCTCCAGCTAATTGGTCTGCAATCTCCCAAACTAGGAGTGTTGAACAAGCCAGACAAATCAAGAAAATTGGGCCTCAGTTGGGTGTCCGCAGCCCACTCTACGCTCGACACCCCAAAGAGCTGGGATC